CAATAACATGTGCAAGTGGCGTATGATATCATTCTGTCTCTCAGCATCTGGGAAAGTACCAGATTACCAGTCAAACAGAGGGCATCTTCCAATGGGAAGTGAAATTAATTCAGAGCCAAATCCTCAGCAACAACATGTACACAAAAAGAGCAACGCTCTAGCCAATGCTTATCACATTAACAACCAAAGTAAACTTGGCTATAGACAGATATTATAATAATGGATTGAAAACACATCCAATTTAATTGATGTACTGTAAGTGTTCAGAGAAGTACAACACTTATTGTAGAACGTGTACACCAGTGTATGTATCAATCCCAGTAGGCCTATTCATTTACGTTTAATAAAAAACATTTACAAAAAAAAAAAAACACACTTGTACACCAGAATCCACTTTCAACCTAAACATTCTATATTCTCTTATAGAGAGTGAATCCAATCCGCCCCCCGGATGGACTCAACCACCTTCCAGTAACTTTTCCTCCCAGTTCCAAGATGAACCAACAGGCCTGATTTCCTGAAACTGGAACCTCCCTCTGCATGTGGAAATGAACCCAGCAGCAGCAACACCTGCACCAGTAAGAGGGCAGCCAGGAAGTGAGTCAAGAGTCCAACCATTACACACAGACACACACACAGACATGCTCTAATAGTGTATTGCTACACCGGAATAAAATAATAGTGTATTTCTCTAATTTCCAATTAGAGAACTCAGAATCCATTCCCATGAATTACATTAATGAAGATAAACATAAAAACCTTTACCAACAATGACAGAGTTTAATATACATGATAAACTGAAAACGTGTCAGTTGAATATTTTGTGAAATTAGGGGTAAATTTGCCCAGCTAGACAATGGTAAATAACTATGCATTTCTGAATTGAAATAGAAGTTTTCCAAAAAGCAAAAACAACATCCACCTCAAAGCCGAAGGGGAAATGACAACTCTGACTTTGTATAACAACCACATGGCTCCTTATTTTGGAGTTGGAGAACATTGAACAACCCACATGTGCCCTGACAGAATCCCACAGCCTTTGCGAAGCTCTTTCCCAGACGAACTTGATTGATTGGCCATCAATTGAGACACGTTCCTTGTTGGAAAGAACAACCTCACCACAGGGACTATCTAGTAAACAGACGTGGATGTCAAGGCCTGCATGGTGTCTCCACTCTCCATACCATCCCCTAGAAAGGCAAAGCCGGATCTGATGTATCTGTGGTCAAACGAGACCGACACCACTTCCTTTTATTGCAAGGCTGCTTAGAAACCGTGCCAGTATGTATTCACACTCCCTTCCTCGCTAGGAATTCACATAACCATGTGGTATGCTTCTGGAGTACGGAACACCAAGACTCCGAAATGAATGTAACGGTTTATCGCTCAAATCATCAAAGAAATAAACGATCTCCAGTTTACCATCTTTGATCAGACTAGAATAAGTATTTGGTATAACCCTCCTTTTCTCTGGCAACACTTTTCTTGTCATGTAACACTTATGACAAGTGTTCATTATAAATCTATTACACCATTACTGTAGGATCAAGTCCCAGTGACTGACCTGGGCCGAGACATTTGAGAGGTCGTCAGTCTTCTTTAAAAAAACTGTTCAGCAGTTCAGCTTCATCCGGAGTCATAATTGAGAGCACTGCCACCCCATCACCTGCAGCCAAATCTAATGAATCTGGGCTCTTGGCTCCTGGTGGTCCCCCTCTCTCGTGAAAGCTAGCGGCCCCTGCCCGCAGCCCCCACAGGGGTGGTGAGCAGATGCCAAACCATCTCCTGTTGCCAACAGGATGTTATAATAACAGGCCTGTTTACAAAGGGACCCACTCGCATGCAGCACTACTTTCAATAGTAAATAGCTTCCGCTTCTAAATAGCTTCCGCTTCCATGGCATGGAGAATCTTCTGACATTCTCCATGCCAATTTGTCACATGTGAACCTTGTTATTATTGGGTGTTGCCTTGCTTCGCCTTTCTCTGAGTGTTAAGACATTTTTGTTGCCTGTTTTGTTTTCTATTCATTATCATTCTTTAATTAATAATGTAAACTATATTGCCTTTTATGACCAGGAGGGGTTGTACTGTACTACTTAAGCCAGTTGTCTGTCTTCTATGTAAATGTATTTTATTGGATAATTACACACCACTCAAATACTTCCTCTGCTCTCTACAGTACATTAGCATGGGGAACTTTAGGCATGAAATGTACGGAGAAAAACATGATTTACCAGATATTTCGGGTTTAAATCAGTTTATCAATGCTAGATAGACGATAAATAAATTACAGTACAACATAGAGTACAGCATAGAAATATGCAAGTCATTGAAACAAATAAGATTATACAAATATCCCTAAATCCTGTGTCAATGTTAGTGAGATTGTGAGGTGCTGCCTGCTTTTTTATGTACTGTACATTATAGAATAGGTAGTGACAGAGTATAGTATAGTATAGTAATCCAGTTTGCAGGGGTCTGCATAGTATTCTGAGAGTTTCAAAGGACACAGTTTCAAGGGACTTTGTTACATACCCACTGCAAACTGGATTATAATACAGTGATCCCACTCAATGCATCACTTACTACGCAGTAACATGGGGACATGCAACACCTGGAGCTGGAGGGAAACCATGTGCAGGGAGGGAGGGGATGGCTTTACTGACACCTGCAACTGAAAAAGAAGAAGGAAAAAACACACATTTAGTAGCAGTGTGACAATCATTCCTCACATTGATTTAAGTACAACTTCAGAAACCATGCTATACTTATGTGACAGACCCAGGGATTTGATCATCCGTCAACAACAACCAGGTATGGATCTATTCATGGTTCTTCACAGTGCTAAGAGGATAATATCTCTACAACGTGCTGATGGGAGTGAACACTTCCTTACCTTGGTGTAAATGCCATCTGGTGGACTGGTCGGTAATTACCACATTGAGAGGAACATTGATTTCTATATTTTACACATTACAATGACGTACAGTTGAAGTCGGAAGTTTACATACACCTTAGCCAAATACATTTAAACTCAGTTTTTCACAATTCCTGACATTTAATCCTAGTAAAAATTCCCTGTATTACATTTACATTTTAGTCATTTAGCAGACGCTCTTATCCAGAGCGACTTACAGTTAGTTAGTGCATACATTATTTTTTATTTTTTCATACTGGCCCCCTGTGGGAATCGAACCCACAACCCTGGCGTTGCAAACGCCATGCTCTACCAACTGAGCTACATCCCTGCCGGCCATTCCCTCCCCTACCCTGGACGACGCTGGGCCAATTTTGCGCCGCCCCATGGGTCTCCTGGTCGCGGCCGACTACGACAGAGCCTGGATTCGAACCAGGATCTCTAGCTAGCACAGCTAGAGATCCTGGCCTTAGACCACTGCGCCACTCGGGAGTCTTAGGTCAGTTAGGATCACCACTTTATTTTAAGAATGTGAAATGTCAGAATTATAGTAGAGAGAATGATTTATTTCAGCTTTTATTTATTTCATCACATTCCCAGTGGGTCAGAAGTTTACATACACTCAATTAGTATTTGGTAGCATTGCCTTTAAATTGTTTAACATGGGTCAAACGTTTCAGGTAGCCTTCCACAAGCTTCCCACAATAAGTTGTGCTTCACGGTTGGGATGGTGTTCTTCGGCTTGCAAGGTACCCCCTTTTTCCTCCAAACATAACGATGGTCATTATGGCCAAACAGTTCTATTTTTGTTTCATCAGACCAGAGGACATTTCTCCAAAAAGTACGATCTTTGTCCCCATGTTCAGTTGCAAACCGTAGTCTGGCTTTTTTATGGCGGTTTTGGAGCAGTGGCTTCTTCCTTGCTGAGCGGCCTTTCAGGTTATGTCGATATAGGACTTGTTTTACTGTGGATATAGATACTTTTGTACCTGTTTCCTCCAGCATCTTCACAAGGTCCTTTGCTGTTGTTCTGGGATTGATTTGCACTTTTCGCACCAAAGTATGTTCATCTCTAGGAGAGAGAACGCGTCTCCTTCCTGAACAGTATGACGGCTGTGTGGTCCCATGGTGTTTATACTTGCGTACTATTGTTTGTACAGATGAACGTGGTACCTTCAGGCGTTTGGAAATTGCTCCTAAGGATGAATCAGACTTGTGGAGGTCAACCATTTTTTTTCAGAGTTCTTGGCTGATTTCTTTAGATTTTCCCATGATGTCAAGCAAAGAGGCACTGAGTTTGAAGGTAGGCCTTGAAATACATCCACAGGTACACCTCCAATTGACTCAAATGATGTCAATTAGCCTATCAGAAGCTTCTAAAGCCATGATTTTCTGGAATTTTCCAAGCTGTTTAAAAGGCACAGTCAACTTAGTGTATGTAAACTTCTGACCCACTGGAATTGTGATATAGTGAATTATAAGTTAAATAATCTGTCTGTAAACAATTGTTGGAAAAAGTACTTGTGTCATGCACAAAGTAAATGTCCTAACCGACTTGCCAAAACTATAGTTTGTTAACAAGTCATTTGTGGAGTGGTTGAAAAACAAGTTTTAACCCTCCCGTTGTCCTAGGGTCAAAATGACCCGCCACTGTGTTGAACCAACTTTTTTTTTTTTTTTTTTGGGGGGGGATAATTTGTGAGAAGGAGGCAGTGAGACTTTAAAGAAAGTATCACTGCCTCCTCACAAATGATCCAAAAAATATAAAAATTAAATAAAGTTGGTTCAACACAGTGGCGGGTCATTTTGACCCTAGGACAACGGGAGGGTTAATGACTCCAACCTAAGTGTATGTAAACTTCCGACTTCAACTGTAAGGGTGTATGACTACACCTGAGACTCAGATATTCGTTACAACCAAGCAGAAGGTAAAATCTGCTTTTAAATGGTTATGGAACCACAAAAGTAGAGGTACAGAACAACATCTTTCTTAGAGAATACATTTGTCGTAAGGTAACAGCAACTCACAGTGCATTTCTGGATAGCGCTGTAGTTAGCCGCTTGGCTGGTGTGTGTGTGAGTTACAGCAGTCTCTTCATGCGGCAGGTGTGTTTGTCTATGTGCATGGTGGCCCGGTCCGTAGAGGTGGTCAGAATATCCAGGGCCTCGTCTTGCCTCTCCAGCTCAGTTTCAGCCTCCAGAGCCAGGTTTTTCAGCTGCATCAGCATCTGAGAGCCATATAGGCACACACACACACACATGCTTGATGTAGCTAATGGTTGGCACTTTTCAATCTATTTCCTCTGTTCCATTGTACAGGGTAAAATAAATCAAGCTCAGCTCAAATATTTGACATATGTATTTGACCCAGGTCTGTGGGAGTAATCTCTTGATTCTTGTAGGGGTGGGGGAGTGTCTTGTCTAGGCGTTATGTCAGTCAGTGAGTGAGTCAGTCAGTGGAAAAGAAAGTGGAGATGAGCAGAGAGGAGGAATAACACTTTTCTCTCAGCCATAATTCTTCTTCCACTGCTTGTCGGAGCCAAGAAGACAGAATGAATGTTAGCTGTAAATTGAAAAACAACGAAGGGCCTGCCAACAAAACCAAAACAATCTATAATAACTGTACTTGCATCACTAGGTCATGACACAATCACCATGTGACACAATATTCATGTGACTAGTTTACAATACTCAAGCACATGGTGGTTTTACAGAGGTCTCATCTGGTCTCCTGAGGTCATCGATAACAAAGAAGTCAATTACATTTTGTTATTTCAACTTTCTGTGTGTTCAGGGAATTCTGCAACTCCATCTCCACGCTCCAACAACTGTGTATGTTATGGTAAATGGAACAACTTAAATAAACCTTGTTGTGCCAAGCAAAACTTAATAAACACTCACTCCAAACCCCAACACGTGGTTTCTAAACTAATATTATGTTATCCTACACATGCTCACACACACACCCATTGACATTATGTCAGTTTTCAGCGGCCAGTAAACGCGGACACAGCAACAGTGCACAGGAACTGCTTCAGACAGCAATGAGCAGACAGATATTATTTCAACGCACTCCTTAATGACAACTGCATGCATTCACTTTCTAAGGTTTCTTTAGTTTGGGAGGAAAATATGATAAATAGACTGATATAAATACTTCAAAACATACTGTGGTGTGATTACGGGATTCTGGTGCCATATACTGTACAATTGACCTAAATTCTACTGTTGAAGTTCAATATTATCACACCACTGCTGAAAATTTGTATTTGTATTTTTTTTCAACATACACAGTCATATGTAGGTAAAATACACTCAAGTTAAAAAAGTAGGCTAATAACCTAATTAAACTGATGAATGGTGAGGTGAGTTGTAGGAAATGTGTTTAGGACATAAAGAACTGTAAATATTTAACTGATTTGAACAATAAACCAACTGATAATCTGCAGGTATCAAATATATTTTGACAAAAGGGGCTATTTGCTGTACACTTGGGTAGGAAATAAGGTTAAAAGTGACTCTCAACCAGGGCCTCTCACTAATCATTACATAAATTAGGTGCGTCATAAAGTCTACTACTTTACCACTTGAGAAAGTGGTAGGCTTTGTAGTTCAAAAGAACCATTATGACTTATCAGCACAAAATAATAAGCCATTGATAGAGAAACAATACACATGTCCCTGAATTGTAAACAGACTAATTGAGAAAAATGTCACTAACATGATCGATTTGTTTGAAAATGATTATATATACAATTATATTGAGATACAATCATATTGATACCATTCTGAAGTGGTCAATACTTAACTTGTAATACCTAACTAACTATTCCGTTGTAAACACAGTTCCCACAAAAGCCTCATTCAACCTCAGATTCAAATCAGCTTTATAAAACTGCTTATGGGACAGTAAGAAACACCCAAGGCTGGAGACTGTAGCCTGTGTTTCAGGAGGATTATGAAAATGACAACATACCTGTAACGGACTACCAACCAATTACATATGTGGTCTAAGACATACACAAAATGTTGTGTTTTGAAGAGGTTTAACATGGAAAATAGCATTCTGAGCAACCCATAATAATGTGTTAAATGAAAAATTATTGACTGCATTTGCGTCACTGTTTGTGTCTTGCAACCATAAACCATGCATGGAGCTCACTCTGTACGACATTATGAGACTTCGAATGGAAATACTTTATACACTGACCAGAAAAGTCAGACCAAATAACTGGCCATGTCTCTTTCCCTCTCTCCTCTCTCTTGTAACCCAATGGGAGTTTGGTTTGTGGTCTTACCGACTAATATATAAAATATATAGTACGTAAAATAAAAATCATTACACTGAATCTCTGGTTTGGAATGGAACTAGAGCATTTAACTTCTCATGATTTGCATAGGCCATAGGAAAAGTTATGCTTGTTCTTTAAAACCTGCTATTGAAACGGCATACATTTAATGCATCATAACATGGTTATTCAATCATGCATTTCCTCTACATTCAAAACAGATGTCTACAAGACATGTATAAACATTATCTGAATGCAAAAATTTAGAAAATGTTAGGGAAGTATAACTTCAGACTGTTATAAAGCATTTGATCCATAGGATAAAATGCTTTAGTATACAGGAAGAGGCATTAGAAGCCAGATTCCGATATAGTATCTCACCTGTCGGATTTCCTGAGCCTCAGCCTGAGTGACCTCTGGCTTAAGGACATGCACCTGCACCTGGGACAGCTCTCCTGCTGGGACCGTCATGGGGACCTCTGTCTCCTGGTACTGCTGCAGGCCTGCTGCCACGGGAGGGGGACAGAGATATAGTGAGAAGGCAACTCAAACAAACACATTATCATCTTTTGGCGTAACAGTATCCCTATGATAATGTAATGGGGAAAGCTCGTAACAACAACAAAACATGGCATGCAGCAGAATTGTGTTATAAATCAATAAGCTATGTAATAAATCAATAGGCTAGAGTGTATAATGAGATATCAGCCTCAAGAGAGCCTAAAGTAATTTCAAAGATGTGTATTGAACAATATGCTATGCTAAAACCCAGATCTTTACTGCCACTTGGTGGCCAAACACAAACCATTGTAAAGTGCAAAATAAACAAAGAAGAACCCCTGACTGGGACTACAGAGGGTAATCTACACTTCTTACCTGCATTCCATATTGAACCTTGATCCTGGTCACATGGGGTCGTAGCTGGGGTCGTCATGAAGGCAGAGTACTCACTCGTGTACTCCACCTTCTTCTTATACTGTATCTCTAGCACTGACATGGCCTCCGGCATCTTAGCCGACAGGAGTCGGAAGCATATGTCTGGCTTCCCTATGAACCTCTGCCTCACACTGATCTCATAAGGGTTGTGTACCCGGATGTCATCCACCTCATCCCTCTGAAAGCGGTGGAGGAGCACATAGTTTGTGTCTCGGACTTCTAATGAGGAAACCATCACCATCAAGCAGCCAGGCTTCAGGTCTGAGTCGCCACCTCTGGAGAGGATGGCTGGTATGCTGGTGATCACTCTGTGCTTGCCTGTTCCTGTTCCCTTACAAGCGGCCTCTCTAGCAGCATGCTCAGCCTTGACATCCTGCTGACTCTTCCAGGGTAATTTGCCAAAAGGCCACCAAGGGGGAGACTCCAGTTCAGACAGTAGCCTGCAGAGATAATGGTGACAGAAGTTTGAGGAATGCATCCAATTCAGTGAAGGTTCACACAAATCAAGAAGGGTAAACATGTTCTGGATAATAGCTATCCAATCTCAAATAATTAATCACTACTATAGAATAATGTACATTTAATCATCACGTGGATAGAAAGGCATCAAAACTTCAGAAAATCTCCATGACTAGCTACAATATTTGAAAACATAAACTATAAAACAATGGACTGACAGGGCCCAGAGGTAGAATACAATATCAATATCCTCCTTACTTGTCTGCCACGCCCAGATCAGAGTCGATCTTTCCTAGGCCATGCATGACGTTATCAAACTGCTCTCCCTGGTGGTGGAGGACATTCCCTGTGTCCTCTAGCCGTCTCTGAGCCCCCGCCACCAGGTTAATCAGCTCCCTCCCCTTGGTCGGCTGTGCCTCGGCCCCCTGAACCTCAGCAGAAGGGGACAACAACCTCTCCCTCCAGAAATGCTCCAGGACATTGTAGACTACCACCCGGTTGGGCCGCAGCGAGCCGAACCAGTGCTTGATATTCCCCTGCTCCAACACGGTCAGAGTGCTGAAGATGAAGCTGGACGACTCCATCTTGATCTCCATGATCCTGGAGAGGCGGAAGCCGACCAGGTTCTCTTTGCTCTGGTCTGAGGTGAAGCGCAGCATGGTGCGGGTCAGGGACAGGGTGCCGGCATCCCAGCGCTTCTCAATGTTGATGTAGTAGGAGCCTGGCCAGCTGTGGATGGGGATGTCTCGGGTTGGGCAAGTCATTTTGGCTTGGCTTCAGATGCCCACCTAGGAAGAGAGGGGTGAACATAAGTTAAAATGTTGTATTGTAAATAATATTTGAATCAAGGTCAATATGTTAATCGAGTTAAAAGATTAGAGACTAAAGCTTGAAACTGCTAGCTAGGAATTTAAATCAACCTGGCAGTAAAGCTATGTTATATAAGTAGCTAGCTGTCATGGTAATCAAGGTATTTTGGACTAGCTATTTAGGCCTACTATATGGACAGTACAGCTAGATACATATGTTACTGTGTACTAGCTACTTTACTAGTGTGCCACTATGTCTATACTAAGCTTGCTAGCTGGCTAGCAAAACATGCAAAATCATAACGTCAGGAAGCTAGCTAGCTAGCAGCCCTCTTCATAAGCTTTACTCTAAAATAAAAAAAGATAAGAAAACATGTATTTGGAGTAAATTGCATTCGTGTTCAAATAAACAAAATAGGTAACTAGCGATCATTCAACATTGTTTGATGTTTTTGTTTACTTTTTAAACAAACCTGGCACGTGAGCTCCTGCAGGGTTATGACTATAAAAGGAAATCAGTAGCTACCGTTCTGTAATGTTTGCGTAAGGCGATAATATTATCGATTGTGCAAAAGCTAGTAGTCATTATTCGAGTGCAAATGCTCTGTATGGAAACTGTTAATATATATTTTAAGCTGTAACATTAATAATTGTAAAAAATAAATAAAATATCAGAAAAATAGCTTTTCGCAGATTGGTTCCCAGACGAGTGATTTGTTCGGACGTGAAGAAACGTAACTTCCTTAGTACAGACATATTTACAGTCCGTCTAGAAACAATGATCCTGCTATTTAAAATGTGTAGATACAAATTATTGTCTAATTTCAAAGCTTATATTTACTAAAGAAATTGTGTTTATAATATTCAACAGTTGAATTAGCAAACAGTACGGAAACAATCATGTGCAAAAAAAATTACAATAAAATGAAAGCAAATATTGGGCATGTGCATCGATAAATGTGGTCCCCTAAAATGCAAAATAGCATAGCCTGTCAAATTAGAATCTATTTTTAGTCTCGAATGAACGTTCCAGCTTCTCCACATTTTTGACTTATCTTTGCAATGCAAATCCAATAACAATGGTGGAAGAGCAATTAATATGACAAATAATGTCACTATAATTTAGGTACGTCGCTTGTTTCGATTGCTAGCTATAGCTTGCTAGTTAGCTACTTAACGTTACACCCAGGACTTGTTTACATCATCCATTATCATGGACAGGGAGTCTTATCATAACTGCTGCAGCCTTGTCAAAATATCAAGGCAATCCTATGAACAATTTTGGTCTTCACACTTTGTGGATTACATAGAGAAGGATTTGAGCTATTCCAAATTCTTTAAAAAGTACTTACTTCCTAACCACCCATGCATGTTCTCGAGGAAATTTACTGAAGACTGGAAATGTAGGAAACAGTGGGTCACTGAAGAGGGGAAGCCAAACTTCCAGAAACTGCTGCAGCAATTTGGTGAATAAGTGTTGTTAGCTACATATCTATTACAATGTCCTTTACTTTGATTATAATGTTGGTGTCAAATGAATGAGCCTATGGATTGACTGTTCTGATCTGTCATTTGACAGCCATTTTTCATTATTTGTGTAATTATCTGATTACCCACTTTGTAAATTGTGTTTTCAAAGTATTTCTCTTTTTTCCCCTTGCAGATGAGACTCCGGTTCCTGTTGCAAACTGCAATGCGAAAGAATACAATGCAAACCCCAAACAAATGATTCCTTTCAAGGAATTTATTCACTACTGGAGAGAGTACATACAGAACGGACACTCGTCACCAAAAGGATGTCTCTATCTGAAAGATTGGCACATGTCAAGGTATTGAATTCACCTTTATGTTGCCTCTGAAGGATGAGCAGCAAGCGAAATGATTGGAACGTTTTGTACAGTATGTAAAATAATAATATTTACAGTGAGGGAAAAAGGTGTTTGATCCCCTGCTGATTTTGTACGTTTGCCCACTGACAAAGAAATGATCCGTCTATAATTTTAATGGTAGGTTTTGAACAGTGAGAGACAGAATAACAACAACAAAATCCAGAAAAACGAATGTCAAAAATTTTATGAATTGATTTGCATTTTAATGAGGGAAATAAGTATTTGACCCAGAAAGATTTCTGGCTCCCAGGTGTCTTTTATACAGGTAACGAGCTGAGATTAGGAGCACACTCTTAAAGGGAGTGCTCCTAATCTCAGCGTGTTACCTGTATAAAAGACACCTGTCCACAGAAGCAATCAATCAGATTCCAAACTCTCCACCATGGCCAAGACCAAAGAGCTCTCCAAGGATGTCAGGGACAAGATTGTAGACCTACACAAGGCTGGAATGGGCTAAAAGACCATCGCCAAGCAGCCTGGTGAGAAGGTGACAACAGTTGGTGCGATTATTTGCAAATGGAAGAAACACAAAAGAACTGTCAATCTCCCTCGGCCTGGGGCTCCATGCAAGATCTCACCTCGTGGAGTTGCAATGATCATGAGAATGGTGAGGAATCAGCCCAGAACTACACGGGAGGATCTTGTCAATGATCTCAAGGCAGCTGGGACCATAGTCACCAAGAAAACAAATGTAAATGTAAATGTAACACACTACGCCGTGAAGGACTGAAATCCTGCAGCGCCCGCAAGGTCCCCCTGCTCAAGAAAGCACATACAGGCCCATCTGAAGTTTGCCAATGAACATCTGAATGATTGTTGTGGTCAGATGAGACCAAAATGGAGCTCTTTGGCATCAACTCAACTTGCCGTGTTTGGAGGAGGAGTAATGCTGCCTATGACCCCAAGAACACCATCCCCACCGTCAAACATGGAGGTGGAAACATTATGCTTTGGGGGTGTTTTTCTGCTAAGGGGACAGGACAACTTCACCGCATCAAATGGACGATGGACGAGGCCATGTACCGTCAAATCTTGGGTGAGAACCTCCTTCCCTCAGCCAGGGCATTGAAAATGGGTCGTGGATGGGTATTCCAGCATGATAATGACCCAAAACACACGGCCAAGGCAACAAAGGAGTGGCTCAAGAAGAAGCACATTAAGGTCCTGGAGTGGCCTAGCCAGTCTCCAGACCTTAATCCCATAGAAAATCTGTGGAGGGAGCTGAAGGTTTGAGTTGCCAAACGTCAGGCTCGAAACCTTAATGACTAGGAGAAGATCTGCAAAGAGGAGTGGGACAAAATCCCTCCTGAGATGTGTGCAAACCTGGTGGCCAACTACAAGAAACGTCTGACCTCTGTGATTGCCAACAAGGGTTTTGCCACCAAGTACTAAGTCATGTTTTGCAGAGGGGTCAAATGCTTATTTCCCTCATTAAAATGCAAATCAATTTATAACATTTTTGACATGCGTTTTTCTGGATTTTGTTCTTGTTATTCTGTCTCTCATTGTTCAAATAAACCTACCATTAAAATTATAGACTGATCATGTCTTTGTCAGTGGGCAAACGTACAAAATCAGCAGGGGATCAAATACTTTTTTCCCTCACTGTATATACTGAATGGCTCAATGGTTCCGTCCTCTGTCTGCCACAGGGATTTTCCTGAACACAATGTTTACACTACCCCAGTCTTCTTTTCTTCTGACTGGCTTAATGAGTATTGGGATACTTTGGAGGTGGACGACTACCGGTTCGTCTACATGGGACCCAAAGGCTCATGGTATAACAAAACAGATTTAATTATAGAGCCTATAATGGATATCCTCTTAAATCTCTGTCTCCTCTAACATCATGTGCTTGCTTTTCTCTCTTTTTGCTATAGGACGCCATTTCCACGCTGATGTGTTCCGCTCCTACAGCTGGTCAGCGAACATCTGTGGCAGGAAGAAATGGCTCCTGTATCCCCCAGGCCAAGAAGAGTTTCTACGAGACAGCCATGGCAACCTTGCTTATGACGTCACTTCCCCTGAGATTCGAGACAAGGGGCAGTTCCCACACTGTGATGAGGCATGCCAACCACTAGAGATCATTCAGGAAGCAGGGGAGATCATATTTGTGCCCAGTGGTTGGCACCATCAGGTTTATAATTTGGTAAGTACTGCAGTTTGGATGTGGGACAAATTAAATGGTACACTTGATCAATCGTTTTTTTTTTTTTTTTTTTACAAATCATTACCAGTTATGCACCTACACTACCAGTCAAAAGTTTGGACACACCTACTCATTCAAGGGTTTTTCTTTATTTTTACTATTTTTTACATTGTAGAATAATAGTGAAGACATCAAAACTATGAAATAACACATATGGAATCATGTAGTAACCAAAAAAAGTGTTAAACAAATCAAAATATATTTTATATTTGAGATTCATCAAATAGCCACCCTTTGCCTTGATGACAGCTTTGCACACTCTTTGCATTCTCTCAACCAGCTTCATGAGGTAGAGACCTGGAATGCATTTCAATGAACAAGTATGCCTTCTTAAAAGTTAATTTGTAGAATTTATTTCCTTCTTAATGCGTTTGAGCCAAGCAGTGTTGTCACAAGGTAGGGTAGGTATACAGAAGATAGCCCTATTTGGTAAAATACCAAGTCCATATTATGGCAAGAACAGCTCAAATAAGCAAAGAGAAACGAAAGTCCATCATTACTTTAAGACATGAAGGTCAGTCAATCTTTAAAATTTCAAGAACTTTGAAAGTTTCAAGTGCAGTCGCAATAACCATCAAGCGCTATAATGAAACTGGCTCTCATGAGGACCGCCACAGGAATGGAATACCCAGAGTTACCTCTGCTGCAGAGGATAAGTTCATTAGAGTTACCAGCCTCAGAAATTGCGGCCCAAATAAATGCTTCACAGAGTTCAAGTCACAGACACATCTCAACATCAACTGTTCAGAGGAGACTGTGTGAATCAGGCCTTCATGGTCAAATTGCTGCAAAGAAACCACTACTAAAGGACACCAATAAGAAGAAGAAACCTGCTTGGGCCAAGAAACACGAGCAATGAACATTAGACCAGTGGAAATGTGTGCTTTGGTCTGGAGTCCAAATTGGAGATTTTTGGTTCCAACCGCCGTGTCTTTGTGAGACGCAGTGTGGGTGAACGGATGATCTTCACATGTGTAGTTCCCACCGTAAAGCATGGAGGAGGAGTTGTTATGGTGTGGGGGTGCTTTGCTGCTGACACTGTCTGTGATTTATTTAGAATTCAAGGCACACTTAACCAGCATGGCTAACACAGCATTCTGCAGCGATACGCCATCCCATCTGGTTTGGGCTTAGTGGGACTATCATTTGTTTTTCAACAGGACAATGACCCAACACACCTCTAGGCTGTGTAAGGGCTATTTTACCAAGAAGGAGAGTGATGGAGTGCTGCATCAGATGACCTGGCCTCCACAATCCCCTGACCTCAACCCAATTGAGATGGTTTGGGATGAGTCAGACGGCAGAGTGAAGGAAAAGCAGCCAACAAGTGCTCAGCATATGTGGGAACTCCTTCAAGACTGTTGGAAAAGCATTCCAGGTGAAGCTGGTTGAGAGAATGCCAAGAGTGTGCAAAGCTGTCCTCAAGGCAAAGGGTGGCTATTTGAAGATTCTTAAATATAAAATACACTTTGATTTGTTTAACACCTTTTTGGTTACTACATGATTCCATATGTGTTATTTCATAGTTTTGATGTCTTCACTATTATTCCACAATGTAGAAAATAGGACAATTTAAAGGAAAACCCTTGAATGAGTAGGTGTGTCCAAACTTTTGACTGGTACTGTATATGGTTCATATGGCTAATTTTGAACTGTAAGTAACCTGACTTCTGTCTCATTATCCTGCAGGAAGACACCATCTCCATCAACCATAACTGGCTGAATGGCTGCAATGTGGACATTATGTGGCAGTTCCTTCAGAATGAGCTGTCTGCTGTCCAGAGGGAGATAGAGGAATGGAGGAACACTATGGATTCATGGCATCAGCACTGCCAGGTATATAAGACATTTGGAGATAGACATACAGTGTCTTCGGAGAGTATTCAGACCCATTGCCTTTTTTTACATTTTGTTACGTTACAGCCTTATTCTGAAATGTATTAAATCGTTTTTTCCCCTAATCAATCTACATACAATACCCCATAATGACAAAGCAAAAACAGGTTTTTAGAAATTGTTGCTAATTTATTACAAATGCAAAACTGAAATCACATTTACATAAGTATTCAGACCCTTTACTCAGTACTTTGTTGAAGCACATTTGGCAGTGATTACAGCATCGAGTCTTCTTGGGTATGACTCTACAAGCTTGGCACACCTGTATTTGGGGAGTTTATTCCGTTCTTCTCTGCAGATCCTCTCAAGCTCTGTCAGGTTGGATGGGGAGCGTTGCTGCACAGCTGTTTCAGGTCTCTCCAGAGATGTTCGATCGGGTTCAAGTCCAGGCTCTGGCTGGGCCACTCAAGCACATTTAGAGACTTGTCCTGAAGCCACTCCTGCATTGTCTTGGCTGTATGCTTAAGGTTGTTGTCCTGTTGGAAGGTGAACCTTCACCCCAGTCTGAGGTCCTGAGCGCTCTGGAGCAGGTTTTCATCAAGGATCTCTCTGTACTTTGCTCCGTTCATCTTTGCCTCGATCCTGACTAGTCTCCCAGTCCCTGCCGCTGAAAAACATCCCCACAGCATGATGCTGCCACCACCATGCTTCACCGTAGGGATGGTGCCAGGTTTCCTCCAGACGTGACGCTTGGCATTCAGGCCAAAGAATTCAATCTTGGTTTCATCCGACCAGAGAATCTGGTTTCTCATGGTCTGAAAGTCTTTAGGTGCCTTTTGGCAAAATCCAAGCGGGCTGTCATGTGCCTTTTACTGAGGAGTGGCTTCCGTCTGGCCACTCTACTATAAAGGCCTGATTGGTGGAGTGCTGCAGAGATGGTTGTCCTTCTGGAAAGTTCTCCCATCTCCACAGAGGAACTCTAGTGCTCTGTCAGAGTGACCATCGGGTTCTTGGTCACCTGCCTGACTAAGGCCCTTCTCCCCCGATTGCTCAGTTTGGCCGGGTTGCCAGTTCTAGGAAGGGTCTTGGTGTTTCCAAACTTCTTCCATTTAAGAATGATGGAGGCCAATTTGTTCTTGGAGACCTTCAATGCTGCAGAATTTATTTGGTACCCTTCCCCAGGTCTGTGCCTTGACACAATCCTGTCTCTGAGCTCTACGGACAATTCCTTCGACCTCATGGCTTGATTTTTGCTCTGACATGCATTGTCAACTGTGGGGCCTTTATATAGACAGGTGTTTGCCTTTCCAAATCATGTCCAATCAATTGAATTTACCACAGGTGGACTCCAATCAAGTTATAGAAACATCTCAAGGATGATCAATGTAAACAGAATGCACCTGAGCTCAATTTCAAGTTTCATAGCAAAGGGTCTGAATACTTAAGTAAATGTTTTTTTTTAAATACATTTTAAAACATTTTTAAAAAACCTGTTTTCGCTTTGTCATCATGGGGTATTGTGTGTAGATTGCTGAGGAACATGTTTTATTTAATCAATTTTAGAATAAGGCTGTAACGAAACAAAATGTGGAAAAAAGTCAAGAGGTCTGAATACTTTCCGAAGGCATTGTATGACAAAAGCAGATGTATTAAGCAATGTTTTCTGTAATATCTGATTTTGTATTTTGTTTTACAGGCCATCATGAAGTCTTGCTCTGGGATTGATTACGTGGAGTTTGCCTCTTTCCTGAAGATAATCGCTGACAACCGCATGTCCTTCTTGAGTTCTTGCTCTGGAAACAACTCCTCAAATTACCCACGTCACCTTTCAGAGACCCTGGCCACATTGGGGCTTCACCATGCTGCCTTTGACCTGCAGAGGGTGGCTCACATTCTAGAATGCATGCTCTGCAACGAAGACTTTAAGAGACTTGATCATTCAACTCTGAGCTCGCAACCTGAAAGTTTGCTGCAGCAGATTAGAGAAACCATGCACTCCACTAGAGGGCAGCACTCCCTTTACCAGGAATAGGCCACTCAGTATCCCTTTCTGAGCATCTTTATCAATACATTTAATTGAAAAGGCTTTGGTTTCAGAGGTAGCCTAAATGACTTGCCTGATGTTGTCTTGAACAAAAAAAAATCATCCTGTGTGAGTTTATGGGTGTTTTGTATGTTGTGAATGAGATGTTGATAAAATGACAAACATCCATACTTTGTGTCCTTGTATGTTTATTACACCAGTGATACGTTGTCATATTTCGGATAATAGCTAGCAACTGGCAAACAGTGCACAACTGGCAAACAGCATAGTGTCAAGGAAAATAGACAAATTATAATTTCAGGAACTCAATATTTAAGGCAATTTCAATACTGCAAACAAAGTAAAACTATTCATAGATGTTATAGACATGGTTGGTAGTGGTACCAGTGAAATACTGTATTAGGTGATTTGGAATAAGAACATTTTAACTTCACGGACCCTATCCATGTAAATATGATATGGTTCCTTTGAACATGTGTGGGTTTCATATTGTTGGGGTCAAATACCTCCATCTTCATTTGGCTTTAGAGTCTTTTGGCCACCAGTCTGGCACGGATGCCTCCAGAGTCTGTGGTGTCTTCAGAAGCCTTGAGTGTTAATGGCTCTTTGTCATGAGCCAGGGGGATGAGGCTCAGGCCCAGCTCTCCAACCCCGGCCCTGTGCATCCCGGCTGACCTGCCAGACTTGGTCTGTAGCGAGTCACTCCTTCCTCCAGGCTTTCGGCTGGTGCCAACATGCTTACGGCATCAGACGCTTCCGTAATACCCCAGTGTGATGAGTCCTGGAGGTTAGCTCCTGGCCGATGTAACAGCCCTTACTGAAGTTGATGCCCTGCATGGAGACCAGGTTGGACTCCAGAGGAAGAGCCATCCCGGGAGGAAGGTCCTTCACTCCCTCAGGAAGTCCTAGGAGAAACCAGTACAGAGAAACATTATAGGGTTATTACGGGAATAACTTGAATTCAACAGCCATGCTAGCCATATACCATACCGTAACCTGCAGCCATCTCGTCCATATTGTATATGGCATGACAACAACCCAGTAGTTGACAACAAGCTACAGCACACAGTATGAGATGAGGTATGCAAACATTTCCACCATTTAAAATGAAACCACTAGTTGGATAGTCCTAACTATTGCATAGCGGTGCCTGTGGTACTCTTCTGTGTTGCCCTGCTGACACCAGTGGTGACCCGTCATTCAGGGCAGGTGGGGCAATCATTGAGTTAATAAAGACACATACAAACATGGTCTCTTTTTTGCTTTATTGAGTAAGGCAGCTCCAAAATGCAGATCTTTTCGCCTAGTTCAGTAGTTTCTCTGGTGGTGGGGCAGGCAGAGGAAAATACGGAGCGTAGGGGTTGGTAATGTTCTCTAGTTGCGCCGAGATTGGCTCAGTTTTCTGTCACTCACACTACGTCACCGTAAAATCTAAGGGGAGAGCTAAAAAATTCAAGCCTGTTGGGTGCTGCCAAAGTTACGTAAGAAGTGCCCATCCAAGAAAGCTCAAGGTCATTGGCCACAGATAGAATTACGTCAAATCATGTTATATCTACCGTAGTTTTGTGTTACGCGGAGTGGAACAAGGGAACCCAAGAGCAGACTCAGACAAGGAGACTGGGATGAAGGAACCAAGGTATTTATTGAGACACAGGGGGAGATGGAGTGCAGATCAGGGGAAACTGCTGGAAACCGGAGGCTGCGGCTGGAGCGAGGGGGGTTGAGACAGGGTGAGCAGGTCCGTAGGGGAATTCAAGGGAGTAGTAGAGTGGGGAATCCAGGACAGAGTAGCAGGATGACGAGACGTGGGACTGGAGACAGGGACCAGAGTCAGAGCGGGCAGAACTGTAGCGGAGAGGAAAACAGCATCAGGCAAGGAAAACAGGCACAACAGGATCTGAATAACGGCTAGAACCGTAGACTGACTGAGCAGAGATTACGATCTGGCAGTGTGGAAGTGGCAGGACTGAGTATTTGTAGATGTCTTAATTATGGAACAGTTTGCAGCTGGTGGGGATCTGCTCTGACTCCAGCACACCTGTCTCCGCCCACACACACACACACACAGAGAAGGAGAGAGTACTGGGGGAGTGGCGGCAGGTCAAGGAGACACAGGATGAGCAGTAGAGGGCATTGCAGGAGCAGATGTGACAGTACCCCCCGCCACCTGGCGCCCGACCAGGCTTATCTGGGTGTGAGGTATAGAAATCCCGTAAGAGGGAGGGGTCCAGAATGTGACGGCGGGGCACCCAGCAGCGCTACTCAGGCCCGTATCCCTGCCAGTCCACCAGGTACTGCCAGCCACGACCCCGACGGCGCACGTCCAGAAGCCGCCGGATGGTATAGGCAGGATGGTCATCGATGAGCCAAGGGGGTGGAGGAGCTGCTGCAGGAGGAGACAGGGGACTGGAGCAGACAGGTTTAATCAGGGATACATGGAAGGAGAGAGAGGCTGGGAGTTTCAGGCGCACCACAGAGGGGTTAATGACACGATCAATTTCAAAGGGACCAATGAATCGGGGGGAAAGTTTCTTCGATGCCACCTTCAATGGCAGGTCCTTCGATGAGAGCCATACCTTTTGACCCGGGGAGTAGACTAGAGCTGAGGCCCGACGATGGTTGGCTTGGGACTGTGTCCTGTCGGAGGCACGAAGAAGGGCAGCCCTTCCTCCAGGTACGATGACAACAGGTGTTGTGGGCATATTCAACCAGCGTAGCTGAGCGCTCCAGGAGGAAGGGTTAGCAGAAGTCACGCCGCGTAGGGCAGTCTCCATCTCTTGGTTGGCCCGTTCGGTCTGGCCATTGGTCTGGGGGTGATATCCAGAAGGAAGACTGACATTGATACCAAGAGCTGAACAGAAGGATCTCCATACCTTGGAGGTAAACTGGGGTCCTCTGTTGGAAACGATGTCAGTGGGGATGCCTTGCAGACGAAACACATGGGATACTAACAGGTCCGCAGTCTCCCTGGAGGAAGGGAGCTTGGAGAAGAGAATGAAGTGAGCCATTTTGGAAAGCCTGTCAATAATGGTGAGGATTTCGGAGTTACCGTTAGATGGGGGAAGGCCAGTGACGAAGTCCAGAGCTATGTGTGACCAGTGGCGACTGGGTATGGGAAGAGGGCGGAGCAGACTGGAAGTGGGTTTAGTGGAGGTTTTGTTCCGGGCACAAACCGAACAGGCTGAGACAAAATCCCGGACATCTCTCTCCATGGTGGGCCACCAAAAGCGCGGACGCAGGAAGGCGAGGGTCCGGTTCATACCAGGGTGACAGGTTAGGAGGGTAGAATGGCCCTACTAAAGAACATCAGAGCGAACACAATCTGGAACAAACAGAGCATTACTAGGACCGTTACCCGGGTCAGGCTGGTTCTGCTGAGCCTGGCAGATACGGGACTTGATCCCCCAGGTGACGGTGGCAACGATGCAGGTGGATGGCATAATGGCTTCTGGCTCGGTACCCGTGTTGTCGGTGGTGAACTGGTGAAAGAGGGCATCAGGCTTGGTATTCTTTCAACCGGGGCGATAAGTGAGTGTGAAATTGAATCTACCGAAGAACAAGGCCCACCTGGCTTGCCGGGAGTTCAGACGTTTGGCGGTCTGGATGTAGGACAGGTTTTTATGGTCAGTCCACACGATGAAGGGCGTTTCAGAGCCCTCCAGCCAGTGACGCCATTCCTCCAGAGCCAGCTTAACTGCCAAGAGTTCCCGGTTTCCAATGTCAAAATTCCTCTCTGCAGGTGAGCGCTTACGGGAAAAGAATTCACATGGGTCGACCTTCTGATCAGAGGGGGACCGTTGAGACAGAACAGCACCTACCCCGGTGTCAGAGGCATCCACCTCCACGATGAACTGGAGTTCTGAGAGGGGCTGAGTAAGGACCGGAGCGGAGGTGAAGCGACGCTTGAGTTCCAGGAATGCTGCCTCTGCCGCAGGAGTCCAGTGGAACGAAGTGGAGGTGGAGGTGAGAGGTGCTGCCAGACGGCTGTAGTGGTGGATGAAACGTCTGTAAAAATTTGCAAACCCCAGGAAACGCTGTAGCTGCTTCAGGTTGGAGGGCGCAGGCCACTCTGTTACTGCCATGACCTTGGAGGGGTCCATACGCAACTGTCCCTGTGCAATAATATAACCCAGGAAAGACTCTGTGGCAGCATGGAACTCACATTTTTCAGCTTTAACAAAAACCTTATTCTCCAACAGCCGTTGAAGAACTTGGCGAACGTGTTGCTGGTGAGCCTCAGGGTCCTTGGGAAAAAAATCAGGATGTCATCTAAATAGACAAAAACGAAGCGTCCAATCACATCCCTCAGCACGTCATTGACTAGGTTCTGGAAAACAGCAGGGGCGTTAGTAAAACCAAAAGGCATGACCAAATACTCAAAGTGACCAAGTGGTGTGTTCCACTCGAACCCTCTCTTATGCGGACAAAGTGGTAGGCATTCCAGAGGTCGAGTTTGGTAAACACAGTGGCACCATGGAGGGGAGCAAAAGCAGAGCTGATGAGTGGCAAGGGGTACGTGTTCTTAACAGTGGTATTACTCAGCCCACTGAAGTCTATGCACAGCCTCAGAGACCCATCCTTCTTCTTCCCAAATAAAAACCCAGCACCCACCGGGGAGGAAGATGGCTTGATAAGTCCTGCAGCCAGAGAATCCTGGATGTACCTTTCCATAGCCTCTTGCTCGGGACGAGAGAGGTTAAACAACCGGCTACTGGGTAGAGGAGCTCCAGGCTGGAGGTCAATGGCGCAGTCGTACGGCCGATGAGGCGGGAGCGACATGGCGTGGTGCTTGCTGAACACAGGACCTAGATCGTGATACTCGGGAGGAACTGATGACAGGTCCGGAGGTTCTGGAATGAACTGGGGCACAGACAAGGCAGGGGGAAGGGCAAAATGTAAACAATTAGAGTGACAAAATGAACTCCAAGTGATTACCTTTCTGGCGGTCCAGTCAATCTGTGGGTTGTGTAGCTTTAACCATGGATGGCCAAGAACCAGGGGAGAGTAAGGACAGTTGATTATGTGGAAACTGATCTTTTCCTGGTGATTTCCAGAGAGACGCAGGATGACCGGGACGGTTTTCTCACAGACACGGGTGAGGAGCTGTCCAGAGGGTTGGCATCGAGGGGTGAATTGAGTGGGACAGTGTCCAGGCCCAACTGGGTAACGACACCTAGGTCCAGGAAGCTCTCGTCGGTGCCCGAATCGATGAGAGCAGACAAAGGAAAAGCCTGGCTCTGCCACAGAAGGCTGCCTTCAAGCAGGGGTCTGGTTTGGCTCAACGGTATATCCACCACTACTGCCGAGCCCCCCTCTTTTGCTGGACGGGGGGGAACAAGTGGAGACAAAGTGACCAACCTGGCCACAGTATAGGCAGCTCCTAGCGCCGATTCGTCGTTGCCTCTCCTCTGGAGAGCCAAGCTGCATGGGTTCAGGATCTGGATGAGCCCGGGGATGGGATGCAGTCGGAGAAGGAGGACAAGGCACTGAAGCAGATGTTATGGGACATGTAACCCTACCTACCCTCTCCCGCCGACGCTCCCGGAGACGGTTGTCGATGCGGATAGCGAGAGAGATGAGTTCATCAAGTCCATCAGGCTCATCCCTGGACACCATCTCGTCCTTGAGGTTCTCAGTGAGCGCATTCCGGAATACTCCCTGAAGGGCCTCCTCATTCCAGCCGCTCTCAGCGGCGAGGGTGCGGAACTCACATGCAATCTCAGCAACACTATGGGGGCCTTGACGGAGGGACAGGAGTCGTTTAGCAGCATCCTTACTGCAGACCAGGTGGTCAAAGACTTTCTTCATCTCCTCGGTGAATCTGGAGTAGGAGAAGCAGATGGGGGACTGTCTCTCCCAAACCGCCGTGGCCCAGGAAAGCAGTGCTCCACAGAGGCAGCCAATCAGATAGCAAATCTTGGCCCGTTCGCTAGCATAAGAGTAGGGCTGTTGCTCAAATACTAGTGAACATTGTACCAAAAAGGCTCTGCAGGCTCCGAGGTTGCC